GTCGCTTCACTGGCCCATGTTGGTATTATCTTTGAGCTCTTCCCGCTCTTCCTGGGTGAGACAGAATAGTCTCTGGCCTCTGGATGGCCACTCATGTTGGCGCTTGGCAGCTCACACCGGCTGCCGGCCACTCACGGTAGCTTATGGCAGCCCACAGCAGCAGGGGCTGCAGCCTATGCCATAGCCGGCGACTCGGGGCAGCTCAGCTCCAGGTTGAGCTGTTGTTCACCATCTTAGCTGTAGAGGGCAGTGTCACTGGTCCTCATGTGGGATCCGAAACGGGACCCTGCTGCTCAGAGCTGGTGCTCCCAAACCAGCTCTTAACCAACACACCACTCGGCCGGCCCAACATTTAGTCTCCTGTATATACTGCCTTATTGTACACAAGAAAAGTTGACATAAAGTTATGCGCAGTGGGTTAAACTTGTTGGTAGCAGTGGACCAGGCAGTTCTCTGGAATCAGCAGCAGAAGCAGCCTATGGAAGTTTTTCAGTGCAGAAATACTTGTTTCTGGCTGGACTATTAAGGGATCTCCCAGTCCAGACCCTGTGTCTTAGATTATATAAGGAAGCTGTAGTTTCACGCTCCATGACCCTGCTGCTGGCCTAGTTGTATAATGATGGGGACTGGGACAGGTTAACAAAGAGATTACCTAGATTCTCTTAGAGTTCCTCAGTCTGGGCATCCTGGCCTTCTCTTTTCTCCCCCGTGGATATTGAAGTTCACATGGCTCTTTGAAGCCACCTTTGATGGAATTCCATCACCAAGGGAAGCCCTGAGGATCACTGGCCCAGGCAACCAATTGCCAGTCTGTCTTAAAGTATGAGTATGGTTTCCAGCACTCTTACTGGTTTGCACTCTTAGGTGACCTTTAGTGGTGATGAGGTATGCTTTTTTTCCAGTGTTGTAATAATAAATCTAAGTTAATGTTTGCATAGTCCAGAAGTCTCATCTTAGAGCATTTCTTATTCTTCCCAGAAATGCAATACTATTATAGTATAAAACGTTGTTACTGATGCTGAACCCCTGGGCCTTTTTGGGAACTCAGAGAAACAAGAGGGGAGGTGAATGAGTAATGAAAACCTGTCATACAAAAGTAGCAATTCTCAACAGTCTTTTTAACTCTAGAAATCTCCCAGAAACCTTTTCAGCAGCCAAGTTGAGATTGATTTATAAGTAGCATTTATGATTGTGTTAATTATATTCAACTGTTATTAGTGCTTTTGTAATTTTATGTGTCAATCTGTTCTAGATTTTACTTTTATCCCATTGCCTACCATAATGCCAGATGTTCGTTAAAACTCAGATATTTGTTGAATGAATTAATAACAGACCTCTTATAAAAGTTATAAAACCACAAGAGCATTAGGAAAGTAACACTCTAGCCAAGAATCTAAGAGCTCTGGGCTCAGTCTCAGCTCTGCTATTTATTTGTAATTTGTCCTTGGGCAAATTACTTAACCCCTCTGTGCTTCACTTTTTTTCACTTGTCACATTGGGAAAAACCAACTTCATAGGATTATTGTGAGGATTAAATTAAGTAATGCATGTGGCTCACTTACCATGGTGTTGGAAACATAACATGTTAAGCACCATAATGAAGACACTGATAATGATGATGGTGATTGATGAAAGCAGACCTATCTGTTAAAGAGTACCTTTTCATTAATTGAATAAGATTGTGGGGTTTAAAAAATACTTCGGGGCCAGCCGAGTGGCACGTTGATTAAGAGCTGGCTTGGGACACCAGAGGGCCCCGGTTCGGGTCCCAAATATGAGGGCCAGTGACACAGCCCTCTACAGCTAAGATGCTGAACAACAGCTCAACCTGGAGCCAGGCTGCTGTGAGTCGCCCGTGATGGCGTAGGCTGCAGCCCCTGCTGCAGTGGGTTGCCATGGGCTACCGTGTGTAGCCAGCAGCTGCAGTGAGCTGCCGTCCAGAAGCCATAGTGGCTCAGTTGGTTAAGAGCTTGCTCAAGAGTGTGAGATCTGAGCAACAGCGGTTCAATTCCCGGTCCGAGCTGAGCTGCCGCTGAGCTGCCAACAGGTGGCAGGATAGCTCAGCTAAATAAATAAATAAATAAATAAATAAAGGCCAGAAGCCGGCGACTGATCTGCCTTGCCCGGGAAGAACACAGTGATAGTGCCAACTTGGGCCAGTGAAGCAACGTCCTCCACAACTAGACTGAAGAACAAAAAGGACAGCAACTTGTCTGTTCCCCTTCCCCCAATTCCCCAGCGCCGTTCCCATCCCCCAATTCCCCAATAAAAACCTTTAAAAATATGTATATATATATTTCATACTTTATCTTTTAGAGAAAAACAGTTGTTGGTGGTTGATCTTTTCTAGTTAATAATAAGGAGTGCCCTTCTAATTGCTAGGTGGGATGCTGTCCAATTCATGAATCACTTAATAAAGCCAATTAGATATTTAAAAAATAATAATGTGTTTGTCACCTTGCCACGTGTCAGGGGAAAAATAAATTTTTTATTTTTGGGGGAGAAGGCTAAATCGTATCTGTAAAAGTGCCCACAATATAGGCTGGAGAATCAGACTCAAGGAAAAGGGAATAAAAGGGGAAGTGGTGGGAGAGAAAGAGATGGAAAATACAAGGTGCCTGTGGGAGATGGGTGGATGTACTAACACTACTGGTAAATTTTTGGAGGTATCATTGGTGAAGATGGGTCAGAGTTCCCTAACGTTACTTTAAGTTAAAGTAAATTATTAGAGCACAGTGTTAACCTTTAGAGCCACAGAAAGAAGCTGCATTTAAGTAGCCCCTTTATTTTCCTCACTGAAACCCTATGACTTCTTGAGCCATTATTTTCAGATTTTATCCTTTCCTTTTGAAAAATAGCCAATCTTTATTTGGAATTATGGTGTATTACCCTTCGTGTCAGTCATCTAGGATTAGGAAAATAATGTAAAGTAGACTAAACATTCACCATGAGATATAAATAAAAGGATGTTAGCAATAGTGCCTTTTCCCTGCAATATTAATCATTTCAACCAATTTATGTCACTTTTGAAAGAGAAATAAAGATGTGGCTCGAACCACAGGTTTTTATATGCTTGAAATGATTTCCCCAAAAAGGTAATAAGAAAAGTAGAATTCAGTCCAATTCGTATCTAATGTGAGTTTGCTCTCCTTAGGGAACTGTGCCAGGGCCTCTCATGTTTTCAAGGCCTGATGTGGCTGTCCTTGGGGTTTGAGGAGTTTCTAGTCAGGTGGTGATAGGAGAGTTACAGATGATAAGCTGCTTCTTGGTGGTGTTGCCATGAGGAGTCAAAGACAGGAGAAAGAATGTCCAGATATTTTGTTTCTTCTTGCTTATTTTGGAAGATGGGGAGGAAAGGCAGTTTGAGCTTCATGGGAGAAATATTATTTGAGATGACCCTGAAACTGTATGTTTATGTGATATATTCAATGATAGAAAACAACCTGAATCTGGTCAAGATTCTAGATGTAGCTGCCAACTTGCAGGAGTTAACATAAAGAGCTAGGGACATATTCTAAATGATGTGGTGGGGAGACAACAGCAAAATCCAGAATGTGGAAAATTCTGTGGGACACACGACCCAGTTTCTTCAAGTAAGTTGCAAGGTTTGGGGGGAGAAAAGGAAAGAGATTAAATTAAAAGAGATGTGTCTGTCAACTAACTAAATACAATGTGTGAACCTTGTTTGAATCTTTATTCAAACAATCCAACAGTAAAAGCAATTGTAAACAATGGGAAAATTTTAATACTAAATGGATACTTGATATTAAGGAATTATTATTTTCAGTGTGATAATAGTAATAGGTTTTTTATTTTAGTTCTTGTCTTTTGGAAATTATATAGATATATCTGTTAAATGGGTAGGATTATAAGAAGAGAAGGTCGCAATACCTTCTCAGACAACAGAAATATTATAAAAACTATATGCTAGATAATATGGGTTGGATTTGACAAGTTCAGTATAATTAAAGTTTGTTCACATAATCCTTTGAGTGTTTTATCAGTTGGGGTGATAATTTTAGCAGAATTCAGTTGCTTCTGAGCTCAGAAATATGATCAGACCTGTGTTTTGGGGAGATTTGTTGGACGAATTGGAATAGGCAGAGGCTGCAGGTAAGGCAATCAATGTGGAGGCTTAGGTGATCATTGAGAGTCTGAACTAGGATGGCTCTTGTGGAAATTTCAACAAGAGGACAAAGAACAAAATAAATCCAGTCTTGGGCCCTCTTGTTCTCATTTTTCTCTATCATCTCTCTTTTGGTCATCATCTGGAATCCATAAGCCTGAGAAACAATATCAGAGAGAAATGGAAGTCAGATGTAATTCCAGCATTTGACGCTAAATGACTGAAAGGATGGTGATGTTATTAAAAGACGTATTTATTTCTGGAAAGAGAGGTATCCAGGCTGAGAAAATGATGGTTTTAGTTTGGCACATGAACAGGAAAGGTGACCATGGACACTGGTTTGCCTGGAACCATTTGTGCCTGTTGTCCCAGCATAATTGGTAAAAGTGCTCCCTTTTATATTCATAAGTGTCCCAGTTTCAAATGCAGTTGGAAATACAAGACAGAAACTAGGACTAGAAAGTCATTGTCATTTATTTCTGAGACATTTATTGACCTGAGAGATACAGAGATAAGACACATGCAGAGGCTGCAGTCTTACGGAAGATAGTATTAATAGTGTGATTATGTTTTAAATAGGTGTGATGGGAACATTGGAGAGCACAGCTAACCATGTTTGGGGAATTCTCTGCATAGGGGTAGACTGTAGTAGCAGGAGGAAATTATAGAGAAAGAAGAGGACAGTGGAGAGGACAAAGGAACCAATAAAAGATCCCGTCAGTAAGGAACCTGTCTGGTTAGGAGGAATGGCAAAGGAGTGAGAATCAACAATAAGAGGCTGTTGCCAAAATTAAATTCATAGTTAGGCTGCTACTTAGGACCATCTCATACGGCTGCACATACCCATGACAGAAAAATGGTCTTTCCCCATTGTGAAGGTTATTCTCAGCAACTAAGCCTGCAGCTACCAGACCTTCCAAAGGGAAGAGTGCTGTTCGTCAAAAAATGATACACCTACCTGGCCAGCTGCCTCAATCACATCATTTCTATCAGTTGATGAGTTAACAGATGTGGCTACATCAGCCTTCATCAAATATACACATGCAAAATAGAACTTGGGAAAAAATGCTTTGATTTGGCTCTTTACCAAGTGGTTCATAGTCGCTCAATCATGTTTAGAACAAAGGGCAGAGTTTAAGTTAAATCTCCAATCACTCTTCTGAAGTGGTCACACCAAATTTAATTTAAGATCGCATGTAGGTATTCCTTGTGTCAAGACTGGTTTAGTCAGTGGGTTCTTGTGTGGTGTGGGTCTCTTTACAGGTTTTAGCCTTAGTCTGAGAAAAGTTAGCCCCTGGCCCGTAATACACCAGGCAGCTCTAAATATATACCATTTGTGTTAAAGGGAAAACAGATTCTAAAAATCTTTCCACATCATCATAGTGCCTAAAAAACAGTAATTTCCGTTTGACTTGCACATCTAAATAAAATATTTTGGTTCAGTAAGGCTTTCATTTATCTTCATCTAAGCACTTTTCACTAATACTCATCACAACACTTCCCAAGATTGTGACGTAGATTGATATAAAAAGCCCCTTTCTGTGACAAAAGTAAGGCACCATGAGAGTGGACTCAAGCTACAAGAAACTAATAATGCATTTTCCCACACAACGATATGAAATGCAGTGAACGTTTGATCAACCTTTTGAAAACCAGAAAGAACTTTTGAAAACCAGAAAGATTTGCTCATTCATCAAAAAATTGGCACTTGGCTTTCTGAAAAGAATAGCTGCACACTAACTACTTGATTAGTTTCAATACAGTCATTTGTGTTTATTAATTTTTAAAGATTTGGGTCAGTTTCTACTTCTATGATCAAACACTATGTAGAGTTTGTAGTTTATTTGATACATGGCATCTTACTTGCTCTAATTAAATGCTGAACCTTTTCATCATGTGATACAGAGAACTAATTTGCAAATAGTAGATCCCTGTGTTAGTGGAACTCATTATTGCCGAGCTTATATTTTGTCCCCCAAAACTTAATTACTTAACATAAAATCTACCCCATTATTTTTAGTTTGAAAAGTATTAGTTTTGTTTCACATCACTGATCAAGAAAATTGTTCTGCTGCAGACAAGAAATGTCTGCTTTAATAGACCTCCAAGATAGATTACGTAATGGTTCTTCAGTAATAAAAGGATCCCCTTCCTCAAAATAAAATAGTCCTTTAGTTGTTGCATTAATTTATTTACAATTATTATGTTTATTTTTAAATGTGCACATTTTAGATGAAAATCTGAACTTTGTATGTTAACTAACTTTGTATGTTAATCAGATAGCTAAGTGCCTACTATATATCTGGCATTGTAGTGGATGGAATATAGCATGTTCCATATAGTGTGGAGCAAAAATGTGAAACATATGCATTTAACATTTGTTACTAAAAAGAAAACTATAAGAATCCTCTTATTTCTGGAGACAAAAATAAGAGTTGGTTGTTAGGAAAGCATGCTGCTTAATTATTATTTAACTAAGACAGTACCATGATTTATGGGAAAGAAATTGAGCTAGAGAGAATTCTGGTCCTGTCTCCACCACTTCCCAGATGTATAAGCCATTTCAGACCTCTGAGCCTTTATTTCTTCATCTGTCAAATGAAAGGAGTAGGTTACTTGATCTTAAAGGTCTCTTCCGAAATCCTGTATATCTATATAGATTCATGCTTCTTTAAAAATTAAATGCTATTAAACAGTTATATAACTCGAAAGTTTTCTTGGTTTGCTTGGGTTTTACTGTCAAACTCTAGAAATCAAGCAAAAGAGACCACTGTGTGCTAGGAGTTAGATGGAGTCACAGGGTTAGACGCAGAGGCCTGAACCTAGACTTAAGGAAGGAGCAGTAAAGGAGAATGGCATGAGCAAAGATAAACAGGGAAAACAGTCATGAGCTGGAGCTACAAAGGAGACTATTAGGAATTGAGTTTATTAGTGAGAAATGGGAAATAAGTTTTGACTATTATGGAGAACTTTAAAACTCAGATAAAGATGTCTGGACTTGATACAATAGGAAGACAATGTAGGTTCTTGATCTAAGTTAGAGAATTACTCTAGTATCGCAATGTAGGATAACATGCAGAACGGCAAGATAGGTTAAGGACAAGAATTTAGGAAGAAATGATTGTGGCATTAGGATTGGTAGTAATTTCAAGAGACTTTTTAGTTATGAAAACTTTCAAACATGAGAAAAGTTGAAGAGGACCAAAAACACCCATATGTGACCATCACCTAGATTCAGCAATTGTTCGTATTTTGCCATAAAATTTTCTTTCTTTGTGTGTGTGTGTGTGTGTGTGTGTGTGTGTGTGTAAATTTTTCTTTTAACTTTTTATTTTTATTTTTTAAAGATTTTATTGGGGAATCGGGGAGGGGGAACAGACATGTTGCTGTCCTTTTTGTTCTTCAGTCTAGTTGTGGAGGACCTTGCTTCACTGGCCCAAGTTGGCAACCATCATTGCGCTCTTCCCGGGTGAGGCAGTCGCTTACAGGCCATTGGACAGTGGCTCACGGCAGCTCACAGAAGCTCACACCCGCTGCCAGCCAGGCTCACTGCAGCCTATGCCGTCCCCGGCGACTCATGGCAGCCCAGCTCCAGGTCGAGCTGTTGTTCACCATCTTAGCTGTAGAGGGTGTAGCATCACTGGCCCTCATGTGGGATCTGAACCAGGGACCTGCTGCTCAGAGCTGGCATCCCAAGCTAACTCCTAACCAATGCGCCACTCCGCCGGCCCAGTAGTAGAGTTTTAATACAATGAAAGATGAGCAGAGTGACTAGAGAGGAAAGAGGTTAAAAGAGGGGGCATATTTGAGATGTAATGCTGGATGTAATTTATTTCTATAAAACCATTTAAGTTTCATCATTTAATAATTAAGCAAATATTTGTTATGTGTGTAGTGTTAGAGAAACAGTGATGACAAAATGAGCACAGTGCAGCTTTCAGCCTAGTTTTTATTTTGTATTCCACAGCTGGGGAAATTATGCTAAATTATTTTTTTTAAGAACAGTTTGTTTCTGTTTTTCTATTTCCAGCAAAATTTTTCTGACTTGTTATCAACAAGTTTCTAAATTGATAAAGAATAGCATTATGCCTGTCTTACTGAATTTCAAGCCTTACATAAGCTCAACATGAGTGAAATATATAATTTTAGTCTATATTAATATCTATTTTATAGTACCATGCCATGAATTACTAACATGTATTCAAATGCATTTGTGGTCTTTCTTCAGGGTAAAATAACTAAAATGCTTTAATATAATTTGCGTCCAAATTTCATATAACTCAGTTGTGCTACATTGTTTAACTATGCATGTCTAAACGTGAAAGAGATTGCTAATCTTTGGTTGTAGAGATTATAGTGTGATACTAACTCTTTTAAAACAAACATGTTTTTGTCAGATGACTTGCAGGGCGCACAGTCAGAAATTGAGGCAAAACAAGAAATTCAGCATCTTCGAAAGGAATTGATTGAAGCCCAGGAGCTAGCTAGAGCAAGTAAACAAAAATGCTTTGAACTTCAAGGTGAGATGAAGATTACTTTGATTCTTTAGGGGATGTGGAGGCAACGTGACATAGCTGAATGGCCTCAAGCTTGGCATCCAGAGGCATCGTGTCTCGTTCCAGGTCCACAGCTTTATTAGATACGTGGTCTTGGGACATTCACGTAACCTCTCTGAACTTATGTTTCAGATCAGTAAAGTGAGGAGAGTTCAGTTGCTCTACTTGCTTCACATTGTTGATGTGAAGATCAAGAAAGACATGGACCAATGAAAGATCTTAATACTTAATTACATATTAAGTAGAAAAGGAAAAAAACCTAATGTATATAAATTCCAAAGTTTTAATTATACCTAATGTTAGCTATTTGGTATGAGATAAGTAGGATGTATATTCCCTGTGGCTTTATAGTATATTCATAGTAAATGGGAAGAGTCAGGGGTTAAGGCATCAAACCTTCTAATGTCCCAGCCATTTCTTTTCTAGTAGCTCATTTATCTGTAGTATCATGGGCGAACGGAGTCCGTGCTGTTCCCTGGAGCTTATATTTTCTTTATTATTCACAGTAACTATCTGGTTGGTTAGTACCTTTGAAAGTCTTAGAACGAGGAGAAAGTTGATGGCCTGTGGTCCTCATGTTCTCTAAGATGGCCTTCCTGACAAGGAAGACGATTGAGAACTTCTGTTACTGCCTCCCTCCTGTTCTGCTTCTTGAAGAAGTTAGAATTGATGTTCTTATATTGTTTTTGTTGTTGTTGTTTTGTTTTTTTGTTTTAGCTGAGCCATCCTGTCACCTTTTGGCAGCTCAGCTCGGGCCGGGAATCGAACTGGTAACTGTGTTGCTCAGAGCTCGCACTCTTGAGCGAGCTCTTAACCAACTGAGCCACTCGACCGGCTACTAGAATTGGTGTTCTTAACTTGAACCTTTTGGAGGGTCCAGGCTAATTTATTTAATTATAATGAAAAATATTTAGTGAACTGCAGTTATTAGGTAGTACTTACTATGTGCTTGGTAGTAAACATGAGGATTTTAAGTTTTTTAAATTTAAGCTCAAAATGCTGATTAACAACTATCAAGACTGCTTCTCCTGTGAAGAATAGCACATATTATCTTGGTGATGAAAACAACACTACTCAGTTGAATAGATTTATTACTTACTACTGTTTTGTGCTCTTAAAAATCCTGAAGCTATTATGTCTAACTGCTAATACTGATAATACTTACTGCCTAACGTTTGTTTCCTTCAATAAGCTTTAGGAGAGAGTGTTTTAGAAATTTCCAGCTGCTCAACTCTGAATACTTTAACTCACAGAGTTAGATATACTGTGTTTTACTTTTAGCTCTATTGGAAGAAGAAAGAAAAGCCTATCGAAATCAAGTTGAAGAATCCACTAAACAAATACAGGTTCTTCAAGGTACGGAACACTTCAGGGTATCTAAGATTGTTTTTGTTTGCTTGTTTCTAGTGATTCAAAAGGAATGAAAAATAAGAGTGTACAGGGTTCCCATTTTCCATAGCTTTCGGTCTTCTCTAGAACCTGAGACTATAACTGGGTGAGCTTATTATTTTTTTAAGAAGGTAGAAGGGAAGATTTCCCCATACTCCTATAATAGACACTTGAAACGGGAAGAACAGGGATGAAGATATGGATTTGGTAAGACTGTCTGTCGCTTTCTGGATTATGTAGTGTGTTACTACAGAAGGGGCCTTCAGACAGGAAATCAGCTTGAGCTGTTCTGTGCATCAGCACTTTTAGCTTGTTAGTGGCATCATTTCTAATGCTCATAACACACATGGCATTGCAACAAAAATTATATACCCCATGGAATAGCATCATGGCCCCTGAACTGCCTTTACCGGTAAAGGCTGCTCTTTATACCCGCTGTTTTGCTATCTCTCTGTGGGCTATCACAAGGTCATTACAGAAATGACCAGAAAGACACCTGCCTGTCAAGGGTTTTCTTGGAACCAGAGCTTCTGGTACTGTGAAGCTGTATATATCAGGTACCCCAGGAGAGGTCTTTCTTTCCTCTGCCATTGTAAAATTCCTAAAGCGCATTTACTTTGCCTTCATTGTCAAAGAGGGAACCAATGTATTTTAAAATTTTAGTTTAGGAAATGAGGTGAGAAAAAAATTAAATAGACAAGTAATCTCATTTCAGAAGAAATCGAGAGTCATTGTATGAGGCCTATGATATTTGCCCTAAAATATCCCAGAGAAAAACCATCTCCTTGGGTTTTCTTTTCTTATTTTTGAGTAGGATATTTCAGTGTTTAATTTTTTAATTTTATTATGATCAAATTAGAATTTCTGAGGTAAGTCGTATGTCTTTTTAACTTAAAAACCCATTAAACTGTTATTACAGCTTAATTCCATTATCTGTTAGCTTACATAAATCTGATTTGAATCTGTATTTCCATCCTGTACTGTGTATGGGCAGGTTCTCTGACCATGTGCTGCCTTTTGTCTTAAGGCTGTATCACCTAGGCATCGTTGAGTGCCCCCTAGTGCCAGCAAGTGTATTTCAGCACTTTATCCACAAATCCATGGTTATGTTACCATTCTATCTTTTCAGATTTTGAACCTCTTACCTCTCAATACTTCCTACAAACTTAAAAGGCCTAATATTTAATGTTTATTTATAGGGCTACCTGCCCCACCCTCAGCCTTAATTCTCTTGATTATTTTAATTATTCTTCTACTTAAGGAACTTTTTCTATCTATAATTTACTTGTGTTATAGTAACCAAGACTAGTATTCTAGTTCTGAACCCAATATGATTTTATATAGGTTATTTTCAGTTTGACCATGAGGGCATAGGGGAGCAGACCTTTTAAAACTGTACTCTTTGATTAGGCAGTATTCGTTAGTTTTATTAATTCTACCAATAATTCTTGATTGTTTACTTTGCTAGTGTTGGGGATAGAGCACATATGAGAGGTACAGTCTAGTGGAAAAGATAAACAATAAGCAAATAAACATGTAATGTGACGTCCAATAACGGCAAAGTAAAGGTCTAGAGAATGACAGCTATTTTTAGATAAGTCATCAGAGAAGGCTTCTTTAAGGAATTGATATTTGAACAGAAAATTGAATCAAGAACATCAAAGATTTTTCTAATGCTTACCATTTGACCAAGCAATTCAATGTCTAGGAATTTACCCTTAGAAAAAAATCAGGATTGTGTTATTAGCAATATTGTTTATAATGATTAAAAACTAAGTAGCCTGAAATGTCTAAAATAAAGGATTTGTCAAAAAAAGTTACAGCGGAACTATTTTTTGTTATTAAAAGATGTTCATCACCAGCGGGTTAGAGAATTACTACATATATTACCATTCCTCCCTGTTTTTGTTTTTATATGTGTATAAATGCATAGAAAATATCTAGAAGAATAAGCACCAAATGTTAAAAGCAATATTCTCCATGTGGGAGAAATAAAGATCACTTTGGTTTTTTTCTCTTTGTGTTTCTGTATTTTGACATTGTCTGCATTAAACATAAATTGCTTGTATAGTTAATCAAAAGCAACAAACAGCTCTGAGAGCCCCATATGGGCTGTTTAATTGCTGTGGATTAAGGAAATGATGGATAAATACATTTTTGTAGCCCAACTGCAGAGGTTACACATCAATATTGAGAATCTCCGGGAAGAGAAGGACAGTGAAATTACAAGCACTCGAAATGAATTGCTTAGTGCCCGAGATGAAATTCTGCTTCTTCATCAAGCAGCAGAAAAGGCTGCTTCTGAGAGGGACACTGACATTGCTTCTTTACAAGAAGAGCTTAAGAAGGTGCGAGCTGAGCTTGAGCGGTGGCGGAAAGCAGCGTCTGAATATGAGAAAGAAATCACGAGCCTCCAAAACAGTTTTCAGCTTCGATGTCAACAGTGTGAGGACCAGCAGCGAGAGGAAGCAACACGGCTACAAGGTGGATACATGTATTTTACATAAAGCCCTGAACTCTTGGCAATGATAACTTTATAATTTGTACAAAATAACCATTCAGGCTATATTTCTCTTTGATATCAATTGGTTGTGTAAAGCAGTGTTCTTATTTTGGGGCTATAAACATTCTTTAGGTCTGCAAGTTGTACAGTAAATTAAAATTTTTTTATACTTTTACATTTTATTTAAATACTGTTAAAAATTATTTGTCTTATGAAAGTGAAGCGGGGAAAAAAATTACAAAAGTTAAAGTTAATGGAACTTCCCTGAGGTATAGAGGCAGAGTAACAGGAATCTAAAAATAACCATGTAAAATCTACATGTTTTTACATAAGGAAAAAAGTTTGTTCTCTGAAATATTTCCCTTTATTCTCTGAATTATTGTGAGAGTTATATTCCCCTGTTAACAGAAATGTTTTGGGACTCTTTTTAGGTGAACTAGAGAAGTTGAGAAAGGAATGGAATGTATTGGAAACCGAATGCCGTTCTCTAAAAAAGGAAAATGTTTTGCTATCATCGGAACTGCAGCGGCAAGAAAAAGAATTGCACAAGTATGCAAAAATTCTATTTTAGCTTCAAAATATTTCTTTATCTTAAATTTTCATCTAAATTAAATTTAATTTGGGTACTTAAATACCCTTTTTGGAGCAAAATGCTCAGCCAGACTCTTTTTTGGATATTTGGCAGATTAACCATGCTAAATGAATACTTCAGCATTTTGGGGTTTTTTTTTTACCACCACCATCATCATACATGCCCTTTCCTTTTGATGTACTCATGGAATACAGATGCATTAAATGCTCCCTCCCCCCAAAAAATTCCTAAACAAACAGCAAAGATCTATAATTAGTGATCGAACATGCTGTATAAATTAAATGATAATAAATTTCAAATACAAGTTTGCTTTTGTTTCATACCAGTGATCCCTTTTTTTAATATGTATGATCAGGAGATGACTATAATAAAGAATTTATACTATTGGAAGATACAAATTCAGCTTTTGAATTTCAGACAAGGTTATTTATATAAAGGATAATAATATATAAGGTCAAAAATGTTCTAAAACCAGTTAAATCTTTGTAATACCCAGTACCTTACTGGCAAACCAATGGATGCAATAGATTTATTTCAACAAATTTAGTAGAGTCCTGTTTTCCCACCAACATTTGCTTCGTAGTTTAAAATTCATTTATTCCTTAAAAATTGGATCTGTTCTGTATTTTTAAACACTGTTCTAATTCAGAACATGATAGTAGTACATGTTTATTATTGAAGCCACTCTTAATTAATCCATCTCCTTCCCCCCAGAACACCAAAAATGGGAGTCATTACTCTTTTTAACCTTGTGGCTACACTCCTCAAAAGCACTAAGGTTAGCAAAAAGTCAGTGTTCAAGGTCAGTTCCTAGAGAAAACAAGCTTTAGGGAAAGACAATAAAGAAAGGACTAGATACATCAGAAAATAGTAAGCCTCATTATCTGCTTATAAAAACAAAAACAATTGTAATGTTGATTATACATTTTAAAAAACTAGTTGTTAGGAACAAGATGTGCTGATTTATTCTCTAAAGCTCCTTCTTACCATACCATGTGTTCTCAATATCAATATCTATAAAGCACTTTTTTCTCCTCCAGTGTCATATCTTTATGGAGTCTTTTCATATGACAATACATTTAGGCAAATCGTTTAGTATAAAGTATGTGTAAGATGATGTAGACACTCAAGTTCTTCATATTTGGAATACTTTTGGATCTTAGCGAGTCCCATTTAGTTGGGTATTCTAACAAGCAAGAAATACTGATGTTTGTTACCAGTATTGATTATCTTAAATTATTCTTATTTTGGAATTATTGCTATTTTAAAGATTCAGACTTGATCCCACATTTTTGAGATGTGATTAATTGGAGTCTGGCAGATTGTTAAATGTTATTTTTTTACTTCACATTTTGTGTAAGTATTGGAAAGTAAGCCACCAAACTCCCAATGAGTCAGAGAAGCATAAGGTTTAAAAATATTAGGTCCCAGAGGGTGGACTGTATTAATAGATTGTTGGTCAAGTTGTCTGCTTAAACTCACATAAACTATTTAAGACAAATTAATTCTGTTTCTTAAACTTTTCTGGTTTAGAGGTTGTCTAAATTTTATTTGGTAAGCCTCCCCAGCATACTTGTATTTAGAAGCTAGTCTTTCTTTACAGGGTCTTATCTGGCATTTAGTTCCTAGCTTTGTTGGTCCTACAACATCAGACCTGTCCCCTAAGAATCTGCCAAGCATACAATTGGAATTTATACTGTATAGTAACTCGGTTACAATATTGAGTCTGAGACCTATGATTCATCCTGAGAGGCATAAAACTGTCATTTTGAAAACCTTATCCTCCTTTAGCTGTTTCAATTGTAGGTGGTAGCCAAATTCTTTAACACAGCTACGCTATACAGGTCTTTTCGATCGTCTTTGTTGTCTGTGATGTAGAAGGAATTGAACAAAGAATTTCTATTTATGCTTATCAAGCTGTTTTGCTAGTGTGTAAGTCAGTTTTTTATTTCATCAAGTTATAAAAGTAATCATAAATTGTAAGGCAGAAAACGGCCTCAGAAATTGAGTTCAATCTTCCTGTTTGACAGTGGGAGGCACTGAGACTCTCCTTGTGTTATTTGTGTCTGTATAACATGCCTGGCACAGATCTAAGAGCTCAAGAAATGCTTACTATGAGAATGACATTATACCAGATACATGACTTGTACAATATCCCACAGCTAGTGGCAGAGCTAAGGTCTAGAACCCAACCTCCTGGTTCTTTGTCCCGTGCTGTTCCCCAGTTTGGTGTGTCTTCTTATTTGAGTAGGCTTATCTTTACTTGAGTTGGCAGTGGCTTCTAAATTTTAAGTTTCTGTCCCCCATCCTATTTGTCAAGTACTTAAACTTACAAGAAAATAGTTGAAATACATGCCGAAATACAATATATTCTTCTGTCTATGCTTTAGAAGACCTACCCTGAATCTTTATGATACGGTCAATATAATGTGATGTAACAAAATATACACTTAGTCACCTCCTACTTCTGTTTTTAAAATTTCAACTTTTGTGTATATTTGATTATCTGAAAATAGAACAGTGCTTTAAATATGCATTTTTTGGTATTTTAACACTTTTTACTTATTGAAAATATCTCATTCTTTTTACACTTTTCTTTCCTCCTCTGAAATCCACTCCATCCCTAGTAAAATGTATAAGGAATTGGACTTCCTTCTGTGTCTAGCTTCTACATGAATAACTGTTAGTATTTATTTTACAGTTCTCAGAAGCAGAGTTTAGAGCTTACCAGTGATCTCAGCATCCTTCAGATGACCAGGAAAGAGCTTGAGAATCAAATGGGGTCCTTAAAAGAACAGCATCTTCGGGATTCAGCTGATTTAAAAACTCTTCTCAGTAAGGCTGAAAACCAAGCAAAGGATGTACAGAAAGAGGTAAAGCGAAAAGACATTATGAGCCCAATAATGGTTGGACTTAAAGCCAAAAGCAAATCAGATATTCATGCTAGTTAGAAATAAAGTCACATTACCTGTCACAAAGTTTGATACTTGGAGCATCTCTGCTTGGTTATTTCTAGCTGTATATCATGGTCCATATATAGAGGACCAATCAGTAGAGCTTGGCCTCAAAAATATAAATATATAAAATTATGTTAAAATTTTTTCTCTACCATTTAGTTAACCTGTATGAAAATTCATTGTTTCTCTTTCAGAGACAGTATCTTATTTAACTTAGAATACCTGAGAGAGCAAACTGGCCACACCATAATGCTCTTTACACCCCTCCCATGAAACTGGCCTGAAGTTTCTTAAACTTCATCTCATAGCCAGCCAGCCAAACACTTGTTCTATGATCTTTTACTTTATTCCCACCCTATCCCTTTTCCCACTTCTTCACAAATATGCATGCTCCCTTTTCATGTCATTTTGCTTAAAACCTTGACTTGGTGGTTTTTTAAAAAAAAATTATGTTGGCCCTTGAGCCATTCTCTACTGCTTGGGCCCACTTCTATTTCTTTGAAGTGTTACTATCTCTTCTAACAAACTGCTCTTTCACCACTTAAAAAAAAAAAAATATGTTAAAAATGGTGAGAGTTGACTTTAGAGCAGAGACCTCACCCAACCTCTTCCTCAGCAAAGCCTTGAAGTTGACATCGGGGCCCTAAGAGCTGTGTTCAATCCCGCTGGCCTTGGACTACTCCCTGAATTGACCACTGACCAGCTCTGGGTATGGAGAAAGCTCATGATGCATCTTGACCTCCTGGTCAGGGCCCACCCCAGCTGTAGACTCTTAAATGAAGGATTTGTTATAAACAGAAAGAAGCTGAAGACAATTCTTTGTCTTTAATAACAAATTTTCCAAAATTGTTTTTAGAAGATGTGTTTAATCAATGCATTTTTTTAATGCACTTTTTCCTTTCCTTGTAGTATCCTGAACTTGGAAATGATTATTGTTCTGTCTTCATGTTTGTTCCTAAAGGGGAAAAAAAAAAACACAAAAAAAAAACTGTAACATTCTTTATTTATATGTGGCCATATTGATTTTGTAATATGTTCGTTTTTATCCTCTTGCTAAGGATATGTGTTTTGAGAGAAATCTCATTTTATTTAGTTAGAACACAAATTTTGTGCCAAAGTAAATATCCTAGTATTTAATACTGTAAGCACTTTGTGTCCTTCCAGTCCATATGCCATAATTCTTTCAAAATCTGGGAAGAATGCTGTGGTTGGAAGATGATTCTGTTGTATGTTACTATGAATGCGTTAACCGTTTTGTTGCATTATTTGTTTGCCTGTTTTTGGTCACTGAGCAATCAGTACGAGATGCTTTTTAACTGTTTCACAAATGGCAGTGGCGTGTTGCCACAGCATCTAAATTGTTGACAGCCTTTGGATTGCATTAAATGCAGCACATTTAAAAATATGTCTGATCTTGTCAATATGTTCTTTTCTATTGTTCAGTGTTTTCCATTGTGAAATGATGTGTAGTCATCACACTCCTTTGTAATGTAAAATTGCTTCTCTTTCTGTTTGTCCTGATGTCAACTATTGGATGCCAGTCTGTAACTAAAATGTTCTTTAATGAGGTTCTTATATCTGTGTAATCCACTGCCAATTAATTACTACCTTTTATTAATGCACATATATTCCCTTTCAATATTTCCCCTTTGTTCTCTTTCCTCTCATAGAATCATGCTTACTATACATAGTATAATGATTATGTATCTTCAGGACTGTAAAAGGATAAAATATTACAAGCTAATAAGCAACCCCAGATATGACTTTTTATGAAGAAAAACCAAAGGTGTTGGTAATATTGTGTGGTTTTTCCTTTTGAATCAGAACTGAGCTTGTTTCTCACCCCCAAGTTAGAAGCAAGATAGAGCAAAAATAATATGCAAATGAGGTGACACTAAGACTGCAAAAGGTGACCTTTGTTCCAACAATTAAACTTTTTATATATGGCAGCTTTTATTTGAACATTTAACAAAGGAAAAGTACATGAGAACAGTAAATTTTAATCCTTAGTATTAAGAGAAAAATATGCGTGTATCATCTTTATATATGACTTAAGAAAACATCTGCATATTTTAACTTAGTAGTAATGTCTATAATTTAAGAATTCTTAATACATTGAACACATAAGTCCCCTGCAAAGACTGACTCAGGAAAGTAGTTTGGCTTCACCGTCTTGCCCCTAGGTCAGAGGCCTTCCCGCCTCACTCCCTGCTGAAGGTAAACAGCCGGACCTTCCTGACGGAGCTGCTTCCTGTCGTTCTGCTGCACAGCTCCTGGAAGGGAGAAATGATTAAGTGCTTTGATATAAAGGGCAGGTTGGATGTGAGAACGGTGGAAAGGAAAAGTAAGGGAAAATTTAGGTCAGCAAAGAGCTTTTCACTTATTCTTTATTAGTCACTGTTAAGAATCAGATCACTGAGAATTGATTATGTTCTTCTAAGGGGCAGAGACTAGCAATCTGGGGACACTGTATTTGCCGTGGCAGCCTGCCTATAACCTTCTGCTTCTGGAAGAAAGTCACAGACCACACCAAAAAGCTCTCATAAAGCCCAAGAGTCTTACCCCTTAATTCATTCTCTGGCATACTACCTGGACTTGTTCTGGGAACCTTTGTAGGTAATAGGGAGCTCCTTTCACGTTTTACCTACCTCTCTATGCCCATGCCTTACTTTTTCCTTTCTGTGAGCTCTCTGCTGACCCTAATCTCCCTGCCTCCACCTCTTCTGACTAGTGTTTTATACATTTGCATTCTTCTTAATATCTATCTTTGTAGTGCATCTAAGTTCCTAATCAAACACTCCAAGGTGTTTGCATTATTCAGAAGCACCATAGAAAGCTGTCCTTTATGGAGGAATTTCTAGGATCCAGGAAGAAAAGAGCTGGAGACGTTCCAGTCTCATGGGCTATATTTAGGAAAGAGGAGAAACCTTTCTGGTATGCCAGACCGTGTTATATTTATTTATACTCAACCCTTGTCTTTCTTCTAAAACCTTCAGAGATGGCAGAATGGGCCAGCGGAGGCCAAGACAAAAGTACAGGCAGCAACAGAACAGTGTTTGCCCTTTGGGAGCCCAGCTTGCATGTAAGATGCAGTGTCTAGGAGGAGAGCCAGTCGAGAAGTCCTACCTTCAGTAGCTTTTAGAGCAGGAGCAAGCCATGCTGTTTCACACTGAACTCACCTGTGTGCACGGGACAGCTAGTACCTCTGAAAGTGAAATTATATACAGTGGACTGTTTTCCAGAGTAGGAAGTAGCTGTTTCACTTGAGAAAAATGTCTGTCTGTCAGAAGCAGATTTTTAAAAATTATTTTTAACTGATGCTTGTAAGTTTAAGTAGAGAGATAGAAATGACCCTAATCCTCCTGGTTGTTACCTTAGACACATTTCTTTCTTCATTTGCCTAGAGATTCACTTATCCAGAACACTTTAATACTGTACGGTGCTGGATAAAGGGAGGCCTAATGGGAATTAATACTTCTTACTTCAAGACTAAAATAGCTTGGCTGACATTGCTTACCAGGATATAAACTCATACTTCCTGACCTTGCCATTTAATTAAGCTATGGAGGTTTTCTTCACTTGCTTTCTTTTGCTCAATTTGAAATTTCACTTTTCTCCTCTAACTCACTCAGTGGAAAAAGTGATCCTTTATATTAGAAACAGATGACACAGTGGTGACTTCTCTTAAATTTTTTTAACTCCAGGGCCAGAAAATTCTTTCATAGAATTAGGTTAACATTGAAGACTTATTATTAGTGCAAATGATTCTTATCCTCCTTAAAACAAAAAGGCTTGGCTTTGGTGTTGTAGGTGACTAAAATAGGGTCTGGTATATTAACCTAACTAGAACCATAACTTCATACTCATTTTAAGTTGAGTCTGCACACTCTTTTTTCTTTGCCTTTAGTATGAAAAGACACAGACTGTACTCTCAGAACTGAAGTTGAAGTTTGAAATGACTGAGCAGGAAAAACAATCAATCACAGATGAGCTCAAACAGTGTAAAGACAACCTGAAGCTGCTCCGAGAGAAAGGAAATAATGTAAGTCTTTGCAAACGTGGCTTAGCTTTGATTGAGAGGCAGTTGAAAGCCCTAAAATTGATTTTTTCAGAGGATTTTATTACTGATTTTAGAAACTAAGGCCTGTAATACACATGAACTAAACTTTTCATTCTGAAATGCCATGGTGGAATCATTGTGCTGTCAAATTTTTTAGTAAGAATTTGCCCCTTTTAGCCTGTACCCTTAGAAGAGCCTAAGAACTATCTGAAGGAAGAGCCTTGTTTGGAAGAAAATGATTACCTAAGTAAGAACTGTCAGCTTTTCTCAGATGAATCTGGAGGTCTGTGACTAAGCCATCATCTGGCCCTGTTTTTCCCCTGCTGGGAAATGAAGCACTGTACCACCAGAGGCCCACCTAAGAAAGAATAGTTCATGTTGACTCCTTAACATTTGGCTGTATCCAAAAATGGTTTTCATTTTATACTAATAATATTCTCACTAAGGCACATTCCTAAAAAACTGAGTGCCTTTTTGGACTCCCATAAATATTAGGAAATATTTGGTAAGTTTCTGTAGGGGTGTGTGTGTGTGGGTGTGTGAAGCTGGAACATCTTGGTATAAATTGAGTTTAATAACATTAATTTGTTTTCATTTGCTAGAAGGTAGATGGTCTTTAAAAAGATGTTATACTAAATAAGTGTTGTGTTACATGTTTTGGTGATCATTGCCTTTGTGGGCCCTAACTGATGGATGATGTTCACTGTGGTTGGTTGTGCTCTGACTTATTTCAAACCTTGTCATGGCTTGGACACTGCAGTAGGCGTGAATCACACACTTCCTACAGAGGAAGGCACTCTCCTTAACACGCAGCACAAATACGAAGGAGTGATGTTGCATGGCCATCACAGAATGCTCATGAGTTGTGTCCAACTGTCCTTGGCTAAAGAAAGTTAGCTTTTTAGAAAATAAAGGCTAGTTGGTTAGTTGGAATCCCTTTAGAAGTTGATGAATTGAGTCTGGAGGCTTTATGTTAAGCAAAAAGGGATTTCACTTATTTTGAAAATGTGGATTACAGAACTCTTCTGAAATCAGATCTTATGGTTTGGTTACTTCTTTCTTTTATGTTAATTTATATCCCTCTGAGATGGAATTTCACTTCACCTTCTACTAAATTAACCTCTGAAGACATCTAGCATAATCAGAATGGATCCCCTATACTATTTAGAACCTTTCGGTAATAACCTTGCTATTATTTATAGCTGTACAAATAATTTACCTTAAGGGTGAATTTCCTTTTTTCATGATATTGGACTTACGATACTAAACTTTTACTCTGTATTAACACTCATTGTGGTAATTCCCTTCTAATTTTAAAAATTGATTGTATTCTGGTAATATCATTGAAAGCCCTGAAACTTAGCTGCCTGTATTCAGATACCAAATGTTGATCATACATTGTGTCAGATCTCTTGCTTGGTTTAGGAAGCACGCATTATAGGGCATTTATTTTTAAGCTTGAAAGCAATACCACCTCAGGCAAAAGAGCTCTGGTTTTTTTAAAAAAAGGATTTGATGGAGCGATAAAATAAGCTTTAAGCATTTCCAGTGTACTCATTGTCAAATAATGGATTCCAAGTATGGAACAAAAATAATGTACTGTCAAGCAGAGCATCAGTTATTGAGGTGTTGTCATTGCTCTGTCTTAGCATGCTACATTTCATTAGGATGTTAGAGATACCCACATTTCCCATTGCCTCCAGCTGTTCCTTTTAAACAGGTAGCCGGCCACCTTACAGACCACAGTCATTCTGGATTGTATTAGATGTCTTTAAAATGTTTGAATCAGTGCAAAACCTGAGTGCTATTATTTCTATTACCTTAGTCTTCTTACCCTTCCTCCCACCCTCATGGGGTCTAAATCATCTTATCTGATTTTTTAATAGCATAAAATGATTTTAATATCCCTTCCCTTCTTTAGCCTTCCATATTACAACCCGTCCCAGCCGTATTCATCGGCCTATTCCTGGCTTTCCTGTTTTGGTGTTTCGGTCCATTGTGGTAGAGAAAGGTACAAGCACAACTGTTGAGTCCTTGTCTGTTTGTCCCCGTCACCTGTTTGTGCCATATTTGTAATATAGTGCATGGCAAAACCACACAGGTATTTTGTTACCTGAAGCAAACCCTTCATTTAGTATGCCATGTATTGTGTCACCTGAATGAACTGAACAATCAACTAATCACATAACATTTTGTCTTGTTTCCTTTGTAGTAATGCTAACCGTGAATTAATTCCAACCTAACCAGTTGTTGATATTCTGCCTTTAACTGAGTCTTTGCCTGTAGCAAACTGGAGTAAACTATAAATTTCTGCAATATTAGTAACCCCTTCCGAATTACATTTTTAATCAAATTTGAATGAGAAATGAAGAGTTTGCCTCTTTGAAGTTTTCAGCCAGCTTTCAACCCCCTCCCATCCCCTTCCCTCTTCTTTTCCATAGTGTAGAGTTACTTTTTTTCAACCCTTTGCCTATATTTACACTATGGCTGTGAAGATGATAAAGGATGAGGTTAGCATAATGGACCATTGGCTCACAATCTCAACCCCAGTGTGCATTTACTTATGAGAGTAAACACGCCCCAGATCTTTCCAGAGCCTCTCCCACAGCCCTGATCTGCAACATTAGAATATTTCTTTAAAAGCCAGCTTTCTCAATAAGATTCTAAGAACACTAGTGAAAATAAAGCTATCAACCAAAGCAAGTTGATATATGAAGCCCGCTGAAAATTAACGGGAAATAGCCCGTCCACACTTGTCTCCAACAGACATGCACGTTAGTAGACCATATGAGATGATCATGTGACATTATTACACTGGACATGGTCTTTACCAAAAGTAGCAAATAGGCAGGGTCCCTAAATAGCATTTCCCCATCTTGAACCCCATCTGATTTTGTCTTATGTGGTTTCAAATTAGAAGGACAAAGCTTAGTCCATTTTTTATTTCTATCACCTTACCCACCAGCCCTTTGTATAAAACCACTTTACCATTAGAGTCTGGTTTTTATCAAGATATAAACATTTTAGGCAGAAACATACTCCAGGCATCTGTGTACATCACTTCACTGTAATATATGAGTACCAGAATAAATACAGCAGGCTGAGCCCAGAGCATTTCTTAGAAGTCACTATTAGGTTTCAACTGGAACAAAATTGAAAACTGCCCAAGACTTTCCTGAGATGTATCAGGCTTCCACACACAATGGTCTTGTAAGAGTCCCCGCTCTTATGGCTCTCTTCACACCTGTACTTCCTCACCTTTTTTTTTTTGTTTGTTTGTTTATTCTTATGCAAAGATAAGGTTTTTCTAATATTCTAAGTATTCAGGACTCTCTGGAACCCAAGGGGTTAATAAGTATGAAAGGAGAGGGGAGAATGTGATATTGACTCTTGGTTTCTTTCCACACAGAAACCCTGGCCCTGGATGCCCATGTTGGCTGCCCTGGTTGCAGTGACAGCCATCGTGCTGTATGTGCCAGGTTTGGCCAGAGCTTCTCCGTGAGAGCGTTTCTTGAGTCCGTACACCGTCCTCCCTCTAGAAGCTGGCATCACACTCATGCTGGGGACAAACAGAACCATTTTCTTCCTTTTTACCTCTTAAAACAGCAGAAGTGCAAGAATACAGCTGTAGGGTCATTGCTTTAAATTATATAAAATGTATCTTGTCTATAAAGAGGATATAAAATTGTGACTTTATTCTTCTGTGAGCAATAATTTGCTTGCAATTTTTCATGAATTTTTTTAATTAGTATGTTGAGATTCTGAATATTATGGTGGCCTAAAGTAGGCTTCTTGGTACACCAAATTATTTATAACATTAAATTTATGGGTATTTTACTCTGAATTCTAATGGCCAGATAATTCATTTTCCTGATTAGATAACTACCCAAACCAAACAGCCAATACATACATGGGAAGAGAGGCCCTGTGTGCTCAGTGCCTATCAGTTTGAAATATATACACATATATATATATTTTTTACATATTTACGCCATTTTTACTTGTTATAAAACCACTGAGCTATTGGGAACAAGACTTAGAGACAACTCTTTGTGTGGATTTTTATTTTATTTTTTTTTCTTTAAAGGAGAAATAATACACTTGGAAAATATTCTGTTCTAGTGATAATTTGGGGCATATGTGCACGCTTGTTCAGCCTTAATGTGACTTGATGATGTGGAGGACATCAACTTTGAAAAACTTTCCATGAGAGTGTGTATTTTCTTGAGCAAAACTGAAGTATTTCTGGGAGCAAAAACAGTAATTATATAATTTCAGTGCAGTAAACCAAACTGTTGAGTCAATTGGAATGTAATTTATTAAACCTCATCTATTTAAAAAGATATTTTCTTTAAAAGCCAAGTTACTTTTCATATACAGCATTTTAGGAAGCATGATTTTTTTTTTCTATCATCTCTTCCTCCAAGCATGTATAATTGAAGAAAGAATTAATATCTCTTTAGATAAGCTTTTACTGACTTAATTTGGTTATGATACTTCAAAGCTTATTCATGTTTGAGGTAAACTATTGTTACCTACCAACAGATTTCCTGGTGGGATATGCAAATGGTTATTTTCTTTTTATTGTTGTTAATTGGGACATTCTGTTAATGAGAAGCACTATTCCCAAGATTAATAGTGTTCCATGCACAGTGAGGCACCTAAACACTGCTTGATGTTATAAATTTAAAACACAGAAGTGAAAGTTTAGCTATGGTTTTATGTGGCACCACAGTTATGTCCATAAAGTTTATTTAGATCATAGAATATCCTAAAGTATCACATAGTTAAATTTTTCAGTCAGTGAAGCCTGGGAGGGAATGTCAGTGAATTGGCTTGAATATTTTGTGGCAATCCTCTGTCCTAGCCAAATAATGAAATAGAAGTTTAGGATATAATTTGCCTTGTGATATTGGGCAGTCATTGTTTATACTTTCGAGGTTATATTTTAAGCTATTTGGGATTTGCTGTTGGGAGGATCACTAGATTTATGGAGGAATTAGTCACAAATGACTTGTAGAAAATACTGTCATATAGTTCATTTCATCATTTTCTGTTGCAGGAAGCCACTCTACCACAGAATGCTAATATGCCAGTGGTACCCAGTACCTCTTGTATATAGGATATTGCAAATATTGTTCTGAAATGCTTAACTTCAGAATTACATTTTTTAAAGTAAATAATTGTTTTAAATCTATTTTGTAAAGATATAAAGTACAATAGAATTTCTGGAGTACAGATTAAACTATTTGCACTAACACACGTGATGTGCATGATTTAATAAAATAACTTTACTCTCCCTATGCATTTTTGAGTTGGATATCATTGAAATTCTTAGTGCTGATCTACTATTGGATTGTTAATAAGTCTTCTCTTAAAATGACTCTTTATACAACATAATATATGTTTGGTATTCTTCAGAGTTTAAAAGAAAACACTGAGCTGTTTCCTCCAGGTTTTATTAGCCTTTTATTTAACTTACTGCTCTAATTTTTTCCCCCTTTTACTATGGTTATTGTTAAAACATGACTCACTTGCCAGACAAGTCTCTTTAAATGTAAAGTCTAGTATCAATATTTACTTTATTCAAATTGAATAAATGAGTTTTTGTAGTTACTGCCAGTTTTTCTTAAGAATATAAATGAGCCTATTCATAAGCAATACCTCCAGTTTTGTTCAGTTCACTTCCAGGTTAAATAAAGAGTAGGATTATTCACTGCTAGTGATAGAGTCATTAAGAAATTTTAATCATAGCAGTTAAGAATTGAACAACCCTATAATGATACATTTAAGAATTACTCAAAGGTGCTATATGACTGGGTCAGAAAATGAAAAGAACATGGCATTTGAAGCTAAACAGAACCTTATGGGCATCCTGGCTCTGCCTTTTTTCAGCTGTGTTGCCTCAGGCAAATCATTTATCTTCTCTGAGTCTCCATTTTCTCATTTATAAAATGGAGAGAATAATATCTATATTGTTAGTGGTGGTACGAAAATTGAAAAGATAATGGATGTGAACTGTTATGCAAGTGGCAAATAGCCTTAATGAGAATGTCATACTAGAAAAAAACCCCACAAATATTTAAGTTAGATGAACCATTTACAGCTATTTAAAAGGAATTGACTCAAATATTAAAACTTTCTATGTGTGTGAATGAGCTATAACTGCAAAGTAATGAATCCTAAGAAAGCATCTTCACCTAGCTCTGGTCTGTCTTTGGGAAGTAATATGTCTAGTTTGATAATGAGCCAATTGCCTGCAGCAAATTGGAATGCCTATTGTAGCTGCCAATTCAGAGCTACTTAGAGTTGCATGTGAAACCAGTCACATTGCTGAATAGTCAAGAGGCTGTCAACCAAAAATAGTATTGCCTAGCTTGATCTCTCATTTCAATCACCAAACTTGACTCCCAGTGACTTTTGACTGCTGCCAGTGCTTATATCTACTATCAAAAGGATGGAAGTCTACCAAAGAGAAAAAACTACATACAAATCAACTGTGTTAAAAATGTGCAAGCCCTGCACCAAAAAAATCACTTCTGGAAATTTATTCTGAGAACATAATTTTGTACACAAAATTTTAGCTAGTAGGGCATTTAGTGAAGCATTTCTTTTTTTTTTTTTTTTTTTTGTAATAGTGATGGGTAAACAACCTTAATATCCAGTAGTGGGTCATTGGTTAAATAAATTAATATTACCATTCTGTGCTTGCAAAGTATGTGGGGATATATTCATATATTCATACTGTATTAAGTAAAGGAAAGAAATTACCAGTATAGAATAACCCTGGTTTTATACAGAAATAATGTAGACATACAGGATATGTTTATAGCAGGGGAAGACTCGAAGATTTATACTCAGGTGACATTAGTGCTTCTGTCTGTATGAATGTAGGTCAGTTCTTTTCTCCTTTTATGATTTCTGATTTACTTTTAATAGTAAATATGTTTTCTTTTGTAAAGTTTTAAAAAGCGATTTGATTTTCTTTGAATTAGAAACAAGAATTCTGCAAATTCCGAGTTGATTTCCATATTTGAATGAGTAAGTAATTTGTCAAACTACCTACATTTAAAGGGGCTAACGTTCATTTGCACTAAGAATTCTCTTGTGTTCTCTGAAAATCAGTCTTATAATTTTAAGCATGCTTTGTAGACATGTACATAGAATTAGAATGCTGGAGGAGGTCTTAGCAATCCTTTCTCACCTTTTTGCCTATCAGGGAGAAAATCCAGAGAATTTTTGACTCAGAGTAAGAATAATAGTTATAAAGGTGAGAATTAAGATGATGATGATGATTTTTTTGCTCCTCCACATTGTGTCTGCAGGCTTCGATGGTTTTATATCCATTCGTTTAGCAAATACTTACTGACCGTCAGATGTGAAGCACTGTGCTAGGTCCTGGCAGTACTCAGCCCCTCTCTTCTTACAGCTTTTGGTGTAGAGGGGGACAATGTGGCAAGGAAGCTGGCAATTACGGCTAGAGGAGGACTAGAGGCCTATGGAACCATAGAAATGGGGTGCATTTTTTCTCACCGTCAATCACCCAGTCATTCAAGCCTGAGACATCAGGCTGTGTGGCAGAGGTGAATTTCCCTTCTAGTTAGTATGGGGAAAAGGACTGGGTTCTCTTGAAGCACCTGGTTTTGCAAACCATTAAGACCTGAAATTGATTTTCCTAGTAAAGGCATTGTGATTGGAAAGCATTATTAAGACTTTATGTACCGTCTTGGAGTTTTGCCCTATTAAATGGTTTGAACTGTACCTTGCAAGTAACAGATAACTAGTGGAGGATTTTTTTTAAGCCAGGGAAGTGTCTTAGCCAGACTGGCTCTTTGAAAGAAGTCTCCCCTTGATGGGCTGGGATATGGATAGGATGGAGCCAGTAACCCCTTGCACATAGAAGCAAATGTTCACAGTGCTGCTCATTCAGTAGTTTCAGCAACTGTATTTCTCCCTAAAGATTAAGCATGTTTCAGCTCAGCTCTTACATGATTTGTTATCCTGTCGTGCAAGGACATTGAGATATAAAATCTATGAAAAAGACAAGAGCATTGAGAATAAATAAAAGCAAAAGGGACACGGGGTGGAGGAGGGGAAGTAAAGGAACTTGTGCTGGTTATACTCCCACTGTCCACAGCTGCTGTTCACTTCTTTTTTTTTTTTTTTTAAGAAATTTTATTGGAGAATGGTGTGTTTTTCCAGGACCCATCAGCTCCAAGTCAAATAGTTGTCTTCAATCTAGAGGGCACAGCTCCTTGGCCCATGTGGGAATCGAACCAGCAACCTTGGTGTTATGAGCTTGCACTCTAACCACCTAGGCTAACCGGCCGCAATCANAGATATAAAATCTATGAAAAAGACAAGAGCATTGAGAATAAATAAAAGCAAAAGGGACACGGGGTGGAGGAGGGGAAGTAAAGGAATCTTAGTGGGAAAGCTTCAAGTGGACAGAGCTATTCATAGTATGCCTTTTTTTTTTTTTTTTTAAGAAATTTTATTGGAGAATGGTGTGTTTTTCCAGGACCCATCAGCTCCAATTCAAGTCTTCAGTCTAGTTGTGGAGGGCACAGCTCCTTGGCCCATGTGGGAATCGAACCAGCAACCTTGGTGTTATGAGCTTGCACTCTAACCACCTAGGCTAACCGGCCGCAATCATCTTTTCATTTTGACCTCTTGAATGGGCCAGAGTATATCTAGGTAGCCAAACTGCATTTACCCAAGACTGAAACTATTATTGTATGAAATTATATCCTAGAGGGTCTTTTTTTTATCCTAAGCTTGTATGTATTTATTTGTCCTATCAATTTGAAGCAAGCATGCCTGCTTAGACAGCATTCCTTTTCCTCTTAAACAGTGGGGATCCATTCCTCTAAGCTGAGAACCCTTCCTCTTCAAGCAGACAAGGAAGGAGCAACAAGGCACTATAAGCCTCCACCGTTTCCTCTTCTTTGAATCCCAGTTTCTGCTGTACAAGTGTATGACTTCACTGTTCATACAGTCTCTGTGTAGTTAGGCCATTCTGGTTTTGTTTGAAAACTTGCTGTGAGATAATATGCTTATTTAGTTAACTGCCCCATCACACACACCACCCCTCTTCTTTATGGACCCCCTAACTAACTTTCAAAGAGTTCATGTTTTGGAATTTTTTTTTTAATTGGGGAATTGAGGGAGGGGAACAGTGTTGGGGATTGAGGAGGGGGACCAGCCAAGTTGTTGTTCTTCAGTCTTAGTTGTGGAGGGCGCCAGTCACCATCTGCCTGTGTGATGGCAGTTCGTGGCCTCTAAGGTCAAGGTGCCAAGTTCAGCCTTAGTTGCGGGCAGGAGTAGCCCACCATCGAACAGGCAGTCTTGTTGTTAGCACATGCTCTCACCATCCTGAGCCATCCTGCCACTTGTTGGCAGCTCAGCAGCAGCACAGCTTGGACGCAGCGTTACTGGCTCATGTGGAAATCGAACTGGCAGCCCTGTGTTCAGAGCTCATGCTCTTAATCTAACTCTTAACCAACTGAGCCACTTGGCTGGCACTGTTTTGGATATTTTTAATCAAAATTTTTTTTCCTTAGAAAGTCAGTGCGTATAGAGCTGATCACATTTTCTTCTACAAACTAAATTTGGCATAATTTTAAAGTTGGACATTCTAATTTAGCTAATAAAATATTTTTTTAAATCCATAGGAGGAGTTTATTGAGTCATGCAACTTCAGCAAAATCAGACAAAAACTTTGTATTTTAAATAAAATTAGCCAAAAATTAGGTGGTTAGTTATATGTTCTGTTTACACATAAAGCCCTTTTTATCAGTGAAAATGAGTAAGGTACTGTGAAAGCACCTAGATTAAATAGAACTTTCTAGCCTCTCAAGTCATTGTCTTTGAATACTTAAAATACATTTATTTTCCTGGTCTCATTTTATAGCAAAGTCCTCAAAACCTGTTGTTTTAGTTATCCATTGTTGTATAACACATTACCCCAAAATTTATCAGCTTAAAATAGAAAACATTTATTATCACACAGTTTCTTAAGACCCAGGAGCAGCTTAGCTGGGTGGTTCTAGACCAGGGTCTGTCATGAAGTTGCAGTCAAGCTGTTAGCTAGGGTTGAAGGATTCATTTCTAAGTCCATTCAGGTGGCTGTTAGCCTGAGGCTTCAGTTCCTCATTCCTCATCATGTGGGCCTCTCCACAGGGCTGCTCGGACATGTAGCAGCTGATATCCGCCTAGCAAGTGATTGAAGGGAGAGAACACACAGGATAGAGGTTTTATGAATCTCTGCAGTAATATAGCATCACCCCGCCATATTCTATTGGTCACACAGAATAACACAGGTACAATTTGGGGTGGGGGTGGTGGTAACCTAGGGCATGGATACCAAGAGGCAGCAGGGGTTGTTGGGAGCCAGTTTGGAGACTGGTTCCTCACTTAACTTGCCATCAGGAAACTTCTGAATTGTTGACTGACTTGATTTTATGCAATATATCAAAATGGATAGACTAAGGAGATTTCTATAAGAATTATATCCTTCCCTTTGAGGGGGACCAGAATGCAACTTAGAAAAAAAAAACCAAAAAACCCTGCTTCAGGAAGGGAGCCTTAGCATATTCATCTTGGCATATATGAATTAAGTGTGGCAGATGGAGAAATCTCCAAAGCTGGTTTGTTGGACTCCTCTCTATGTCCCCTTGTTTCTGGGTGGTTCAGAGAGAATTGGTTTACCACATGTTTGCCCTTTCTCATCTACATGTGAATTGCCTACTTTCCCTTTGAAATCTGAGACCACTCTCCCCCTTCTCCTAAGTCCAGAATTGCATAGAAAAATTAACGGCCCAATACCAGCCTCAAGTCTCAATATCTTATAGAACCCCTGCATGTACATATGTAATAAATTTTGGACATTTTCTCATGTTAATCTGTCTCATGTTAATTTGATTATTAGCCCAGCCAGAAGAACTTGGAAAGGTGGGAGGAAAAATTTGGGGTGGGGGGAGCCCACACCTTGTATCATTGCTATTACTGATTCTGAACAATTTGTGAAAAGTCCAAAACAAGGAAATATTCTTAGGAAATGCATTCCTTTGGATGACAAATTATTATCAAGCTTGTGTGTCCTCGAGAGAATTGTCATATCTACAATTTAAAT